TTTTTTTTTTTTATCAGTTTCTGTTCTAGAGCCTCTAATCATGTCTTTTACTCTGCTCACCATCTCTGTAATATCTGGGAGATTATTTCTGCTTTGAATTTTTCTAGAGCCTCATTCATCTGTTTTGTTACTTCCTGTGCTACCAGTGCAGGGTATCCAGGTGGTTGGTTATGGGACTTTTCCATCTCATTTCCCCCAGGATTTACCCTTGATGGGGTTGAAGTCTGAGTTTGTGCCTTGCTTAAATGTCTTCTCATTTTTGTTTTTGGTATTGTCCTTGGTTTAACTCAAGGGTTGATAGTTTAAAATTGCTTATTGTAGGTATCTTTGTTGCTTGTAATTAGAACCCTTATGGAATGATTGCTTCTCAGCATGTCTTCCAGACATAGCTGGTCTTTAAGTTTTGAGTCTCTAATGACTCTAATGCTATCTCATTTTCCTTATACTAGGAAGGTTCATTGACTAGATCAATAACAGCACCGTAGCCCAAGTGATACAATCAGCAACACCACTGCATCAAGTACATCTTTGAAAATGACATTTTGTGGTAGTTATTAATCCATCACCTTTAGCTGTGTGAATCAAATCAAAATCCAGGACCAACCCAACATATAGTGAATAAACTCTTCAATACAACAACTTTACCCTTTGGGATGGGGAGTTAGAAGGCTGGGGAGGGAGGTACAGATGGGAAGAAGGATAGGGGAAGGTTAGCAGTGTGGCCAGAGGACACAGATGAGAAGGAAAAGGAGAATAATAGGAAAATAAAGAACTCCAAATGGGACCAAAACAGGGACAAAAAGGGAGGATGAACAATGTGGGAGAGCAAGAGAGTGAGCGTGAGAGAGAGAGAAAGGAAAGAGAAAAGAAAGAAGAAAAGAAAAGATAAAAAAGGAGAGAAAAACAAATATTTGCAAAGAGTAGGAAAAAAAAATAAAGATAAGAGGAGCAAAAGAAAAGAAAAGAGAAAAAACCCCAAACTAATAATACTAATTTTGGGAATAAAAAATAACAGTGAAGATGAAGGGCCTCTTTCAGGGTATGTCTCTGCTGTCACAATAGATACCGTGGATTGCAGTGTGCAGATATAAGTTAATGAGTCTCAGCAAGCTAGTCGCAGACCCATGAGATTCAGGCAGATTTCTGGCTGCAAGTCCCAAGTTGAGCTCCCTGTCCTCCTCTAGGGTTGAACTCTGCAGAGTTGTATTGCAGGTTCCAGCTGCCCTTCCCCTGAAGATAGTCCCAGTCCTGATGGGAGGGGAAGATGACTCCAACTTACTCAGTACAGTGGTCTAGTGGTCCGGTGTCCTCTGTGTCTTTGTAGTGTGGAACCAGGTGGCTGTACGGGGGCCGGGGGGGGGGGGGCGTGTCTAGTGGATTGCTGCCGTGGCGCGGGCTGATTCCGCATGTTCCGCCTGACTCGCGACCTTGGTACGGCATTCCTAAAATTTTTTTTTTGGTACGGTGGCTCAAACTCGGGTCCTTGCGCTTGCAGGGCAGGCGGTGGAAGCAGTGAGCTAAATCCCTTGCCCTCCTCCACTAATTTTTAGACTCTAATCCAAGAGTATAACCTGTGAACTGTGTGTGACAAATTGTATCAGTCTGTTAGTCTAATGAGAGTTTAGAGAAGGATATGGTCAAATAGATGTAGAATTGTCAGAGTTGACTTTAACACAGAAGTTGGTTGGTACTTGGGCTGGAACATGAAACGGGTAGCATATGGAATAATTTCTCATAAAGAGGAGCAAAGAGGGCATTCTGAGTAGAGGGAACATTGTATTCCTCCTCCCCTTAAGGAAATAAATCCAGTCTTGTTTTATCTTGACTAAAGTGTAGCAGAATCTACTGCTGTTTCTCAGTAAATATTGAGCAGCTGAAAAGCATAGTTGACAGAAACTGAGAATACCAGGGAAGAGCAAGATAAAAGAAGTAGTTTTGCCCAGGCATGGTGGTATGCACCTGTAATCTTGTCCTGCTAGGAAGGCAGATGCAGGAGGATCACAAATTTGTGGACCCTGTCTCAAAGAAAAAAGAATGAGCTGAGGATGTAGCTCAGGGTGAAATCCCCAGTACCAGCAACCCCCCCCATCCCCCAAAACACAACCTAACCTAGTTTTGTGAGGAGGTAGGTATCAGATGTGTATCACATATTTTAGTTTTCACAGCAAGCCTATCTGGTAGATGTTAGTGTGGATCCTTCCTGCAAGAATTAATAGGATTCTTAAGTTTTAAAAAGGCAAGAGAATTTTGGGCTTCTTTAAGTGAATATTCCAACGTGCATATGTTTCATTATGGCTGTATCCCTGGTTATGTAACAGAGTTAGGGCTGTCCTATTCTTTCACTCTTCTTTCTTTTACCCTTTAGCAAATGATTGCATTAGTGCAGAAATGATAGCATTAGTGAAGAAAGTAAGATATGAGAAGTTGTAAGATAAGAAAGTAAGATGTGATAAGGATAACTTTTGACTAAATAACGTGCAAAAAATGTCCTGTTAACAGAAGCAAGGAACAAAAGAGGAGAGGTAATTACTGGTAGAGAGTAGTTGTGAGACAAAGTATACTGCTTGAAAATGAGTTTTAATATATCAGTAAAACATTCAGCTAGAAGTATGTTTGGAAACAATATGTAGTACTTACATGAGGTGAATAGTGTTAAATTTTATAGTTTCACACTTGAGTTTTACACTGAGAATTGTTTGTGAGGTCCAGAACTGTTTATGAGGTTTTTCCCTGTTGCCCTGCTGACATGCCACAGGGATATAGTTAATAAATTTTATTTTTCCCCACCCCTATTAGATGAATGAAAGCCTTTCTAGATGAATGAAAGCCTTTCTACTCATCATTTATGATTAAATCCTCTTTTCTTGTTCCAAAGATCAACTTCTGTAGACATCTTGTGAATAAAGCAAAAGACCTTTTTATTTGAAACTTCTCATAATTTCTACTTGATAACCTTTTTCTGTAATGTTTTTCTTAGGTTTTTCTAAATAGCTAACTAGTTGTCAGACAAACGTTGAGGGGTTAAAGCTACTGAGTAAAAAATTTCATGAGTAATATAAATTGAGTGGTAAATTTTTAAGTTAGAATATTTTTCCATTGGGATTAAAATATGTAGGTTTTATTATAAATTCACAAGAGGAAATTATTCACTTTAAACTTTGATGATTACTTCAGAATTAAACTTTTGTTTCTTTGCACCAATTAAAATTTTTGAAAACTAATGTATTATGAATAAATGAAACATTTTTTAAAAATTTGTTTCTTGTTTATAGGACTCTCAAATGGTGGTAGACTCCTTCAAGTCTGGTTTCGAACCTCCAGGAGACTTCCCATTTGAAGATTATAGTCAGCATATTTATAGAACCATTTCTGATGGGACTATCAGTGCATCCAAACAAGACAGCGGGAAGGTGGATGCCAAAAGCACAGTAGGAAAGGCCAAGGGCAAATTGTGGCTCTTTGGAAAGAAGCCAAAGGTAAGTGATAAAATTTCTGTATGCTAATCAGGGCTTTTTGAGTAGGTCAATTAGAGTGATGCAAATATTGAATGGATAATGATTTATTGTTAATGAAGGATAAATGTTTTCAACTTGAAATATTCAAGTAACCTTTTACTTATTAACAGTTTTATATGTTAGTTTTAAAAACATTTCTGGATTTAACATTTGACGATCTATCAGAATTTCTAAGGAAACATATTCTAATTAAAATACTACTAAAATTACAATTCTCAGGTGGAATGAATGATTAACCATAGTAAAGATCAATGTCAAATTAGATCTTAACAGATCATACTAATATAATTATTTTTATCCATATGAATTTTTAATGGGAAGGGCTCAGTGTTTTTAATTGAAGTTTTTATTTTTTTGAATTGTAGTTTTAAAAAAATCACTAGTTAAGAGAATCTTACTCTTAACTTCTTAAATTCCAGCTTTTGATGTGCTGGTTTTTTTAGATGGGTAAACCTAGCTCATCAGATGAGCACATGGAATAGATGAGTACTTTTTATCAATTTTATGATTATAATAATGTAATATCAGAAAGGAGAACAGATATATATCTTTAGTCTGATGTACTATATTTATTAATGTGTGCTTGATTAAATTCACGTCTTTGATCTTGGCATAAATGTAGATAAAATTGAATTCAAATTACATATACTGTAAATACATTTTAAAGCACTGTTATAATTAGTTTTTATTCATGCTTTTAATAATATTGTCCAAAAAGGAATTTAAAAGTCAGATTAGTAGCTAGACTTGCTTAGAAATACAAGCAGTACTGAATTTTATTTAAAAAGAGGTGAAATAAGGATGAAATAGAAGCTGTCCCTAAAGTCATGAATTTAATGAAAAGTTTTCTCCTAATCACAGTTTCAGCATTTTGTCTGTGATGACTTTAGCTATAGCTGCTGCCTTTATCTCTTGACCAATTATAGATTAAGTATAATCTGAATAAAAAAGAATTTTTAAAAATCTAGGCCATATGTTCTAACATTGTAATTTATGTACTCTATATTTTAAATCTGCCAGCTTACAAAGATGATCCAGTGAAATGGTTATTTTTAAAAGTTAATTTGACTTTTATAAATTACAATTTTTGGCAAAACTATGTCTACTTTATTATAATATTTTATAGAAACTATTTGAAGTATATTTTGTGAATAGTATGTTGCCAAAAATAGAATTTTCATTTAGGAAAAAACTATGCACACTTGGCTTATTGATTCCTTTCTTTATTTCCATATTAGCCACAGTCCCCACCCTTAACCCCTACTAGTTTATTCACATCCAGTACTCCTAATGGGTCCCAGTTTCTCACATTCTCCATTGAGCCCGTGCATTATTGTATGAATGAAATAAAAACAGGGAAGCCCAGAATTCCTTCTTTCAGAAGCCTCAAAAGAGGGGTAAGTTTAATAATGGGTTAAAATGCATGATGGCCTATTGTGTGTGTAGTGTGGCTTTTAATACTCTCCACCCTCATTATAAGGCTCTCTCCTATAAATACATAGTTTAAAACATGACAGAATTAAGTATAGCTGCCCTTAAGTTAAAGACAACTCCTCTTTATAACATTTGAAATGCTCAACCATAAAAGAATGGTGTTATAAAGAGGGTGCTGGGTACAATCATTTTAGCTATTTTTTTTTTTGTTTATGTGAAATCATATGTCCACCATTGTCTTGTAATGTATTTACATTTTTAAGACTTTCAGTAATTTGTCACTGGAGTTACTCTTGTAATAATTTGTCACTAATGCTGACTTCACCTGCCAATTTTATAAAGTAGTATTTTGTTGACAATAAATACCAAGCTTAATTTTAATTGCCCTACTTAACATTTAGAAACATAAAACATAATTTGTAATAGCTTAATAAAAAACTTAAAATAAGCCTGCTATTTAAGCATGGTGGCACACACCTGTAATCCCATCATTTGGGAGGCAGAGGCAAAAGGATCTAGAGTTCAGAGCCAACTGGAACCACATAACAAGACCCTGTCTCAAAAAACTCATGCACACACACACACACTACACACACACACACAAAATATAAAGATTGTTTATAGATTAAATTAATAAAAGTTACTTTTAAATTGTAAAGCCCATAAAAATAGGTATTATTGAGTCAGGTTTACATGAAAATTATTAAACTATTTTTCCTTTACTCTTTAAAAAACTGAGTAGCCTTTGACATTTGCTTATTCCTAATAATACTCTGTAAATGAAAATTTATAGAATAGTAAATTGCAGCTAAAGTATTAAACTGTTATTCCTCATAAGTAAATTAGTGTTACTCCATTATGTTAGTGAGGCTAATTTTTTTTCTTTTACTTTATTTGGTGCTGGGGATTGAGCCCAGGGCTTTGTTCATGCTAAGCATTCACTCTGCCACTGAAGCACATCCCACTCCCCTAAATTTTCTTCTCTGTATTTGATTTTGAGGATATGCTTGTCTAAGTTAGATTCATTTATAAGACTTGTCTGGACTTTGGAAAAACATAGATGTGATAATCTACAGATGAAAATATCAGTCTTATCACTACCATAGGAAGTCTAATCGTTAACAGTAATACACTGAAGTTGAATTCTTTTCTTCTTCCATTTCCTGTTTCCCTTTCCTTTTTTGTTCTTCTTTTCCTTCCCTGTCTTTTTTTTTTTCTTTCTGTAGTCTTTCTGATATCTAACTGCATTTTGGCCACCTGTAGAAATAATAGATATGTGCTTAGGGCAAGATTGCATTATTATTTGTATTTGCATTTTTAAAATATGAGTAACTTCACAAATGTCAGTATGTTCCAGTGTATTATGACACTTTTTATTTCCTTTTATTCCTCCAATGAAATGAACTTCGTTTCTATCTTGCTTAATTCTGTATGTGAATAATATATATGATTCATAACACTTTGAAAAGTCCCTGTGGGTGACTTTATATTATACTTAAAGGCATGCTGTTACCATTTTTTAAAGCCTTAATACTTGTTTGAAACACTTTAAGAAGCCATATTTGGGATTTCTATTGTCTGAGTTATGAGAGTAGAGTTTATTCCCATGTTGCTTCTCTATGTCATAGAAATAACAAAATAAATACAATTCTGTGAAAAAAATTTCAGGCAGTTAGAACTGGGAGGCCTGGAGAAGGAAGCTTTAATATATGGCATCTTCATTCTTACTAAACAAATAGCAGATAGAATTTTACAACTGCAGAACTGAAAGAACCATTTATTTGCTTGATCATTACTTGTTTTATTTTCATATATTACTTTAATTTTAAATATTTATACTTTTCTTTAGGGGCCTAGTTTTACAAGGCTGCAGTATCCTCCCAGTTTTACTATTAGTTACTATACAAAGAGGAAAATGGTGTGCAAGATAGAAATACCACAAACCAACTAGGGTGTTAGAGGATGGAGCAGAAAGGAAGTGTATTGGAACCTTAGGATTGAAATACTTCTTTCTGTTTCTTTGGTAGTTCACTAGGTACTATTTCAAAATTAACCCATTGAAACGTTTTCCTTCCACTTATGAATTTTATTAGTATAGAGAAATTGAAAAAGAAGAAAATAAACTTTAATAAGCCAGTTGGTATGTTTTAAATGGATTTTTCAGTCCTTTAATCTTCCTGAGTAGGTCTTGAGGTTTTTTTAAACCGGTACCATTCAATTCAGAAACTTCTTTTGGGCTATATTTGTTCCACATTGTTTTTCCTAAGTATCTTTTCTAAAAAGTTATTACTTTTTAAAAAGAAAAACTAGTTTATTCTAGTATTAGTAAGGATATGAGAAATGTTATATTAGACCAGTGAAGGTAAACCTTTTAGACCTTTCAATGATAACAAATAGCCAGCTGCAGCATATGTGCCATAGGTTTGCCAGCACTTTAGTAGACCAATATTTTTAAGTTTGACAGTGGTACCAGTGGACTCCTTCTGAGGAATGAGAATCTATTATTTCTTCCTGTGACATCAAATCCAAGGATATTTGGGGAGTATACCAAAACTTGACCGCTTTAATATCCACACTAACAATTTCTACCCTATAACTACTTCATTTGAATATTTCTTTCTGTGAAAGTAATAGATTCATCTAGCAATAATAAGTTCATGTTTTTTGTCTAAATTATTTACGACCTTAAAGACTTCTAGGTTATTTTTTTAAACTTTAATATATTCAGAGTACATTGCTCAGGATGTTGGCCTATTTTAATTGCCTAACTTATTTCCTCTTTTGCTCTTCTGCATTAGGACATAGTGGGTGTGGTATGTGACATTTTCTAGTTTATAGGTATATGATAATTGTATATGACAGTATGGTGTTTTTGCATTGGACATGTATTATTTTAAAAAGTACACAAAATGTTTCTAATAGTTTTACAAAGAACTTGTATCCCCAAATCAAAGATTCATGAACTATAGAGTTGTTTTCCATTTGATCGTAAAACTAGATTAGTTATAAATGGAAATCTTTGCTTTTTCAACTATAATTATGTTAATGGTTTTCTCTGAAAGATATCAATATAGAAATTAGGAAAACTATATCACTTAGAAATTTAGCTACTGAAAGTTGTCATAAATATAAGTCAAGTAAATACTTCAGATTTGTTTCTTGTCTTATATATAGCATTTACCAGCATTTTGATGAAGACCATGAATACCTTTCCTTTTAGACCTTTTTATTTTCTCACCAGGAATTTTGTCATAGCAAAATAATTGTTTTTGTTTCTTAAAACTACTGACAGTCTAAAGAATGTTAAGCTTAGTTCAGAAAGAAAGAATAGCAAATGTCACCTTTTTTAAAAATCTTCATTACCATTAATATATATGGTCAACTCATCAGAGATAAGGGGTAGATATTTTTGCCAGATATTTGTTAAAGTTCATATTTTTAATGTGAAATTCTGTCTGAGGTTTCTCCACTACTTTCTCTTAAAACATAATTTAAACCGAGCATGGTGGCATAAATAATCTTAGCTACTTGGGAAGCTGAGGCAAGAGGATCACAAGTTCAAGGCCAGTATGGGCAAATTTGTGAGACCTTGTCTAAAATAAAATGATTAAAATGGTGCAGGGCTGAGGTATAACTCAGTGGTAGAGTGCTTACTTGGCATGTGTGAGGCATTCAGTTTAATCCTCAGTACCAGAAATTAAAAATCATGATTTACAAATCTGGGAAAAATGAAAATTTAAAGGCTGGTAGCGAAATATGATGAGTGTAAAGACTAATTCTGTAAAGTTTGCTGTGTATTCTGGGACACTGTGTGTGTGTGTTTGTGTGTGTGTGTGTGACATTTAAACTAAGAGCAGTGTGGTTGGTTTCTTCAGACTTGGTGTCACTTTATATTTTCAGAAAGAATAAATTTTAAGTAGTTCACTAAAGTTGAAGTGATACTGGTAGTATTTTTCAAGCATATGGATTGCAGAATAAAAACTGAAAAATAGAAACTATTTTAAAAGCAAAATTCGATCAATATGTGTCTGTCAGGAAATATGTCGTAAGAAACTATTCTGATTAAATTTACTATTTTGATAAAATAATTTGAATATTCTATGCATTTTTTTAAAAGGCACCTTTAAAGTAAAAATGTTGCCCTCATGTAATCATGATAAATTTAAATTCAAAACAATATTTATTGAACTGTAAAAATTTACACAGTAGTGTTTAATGCATTGGGAAGGACATTCTATTTTTTAATATTTCATGAAAGATTTCTTTTTAAATGGATAATATTAGATCATTTATATTTAACTTTTCAGATAGGATTTTTGAGAATGAAGAGCTATATAAGTAAAACCTGCCTATATAAAAATTCTCTTTAAAGGATGATTACTGGTAGAATGATAATTTTGGAGTTTTAAGTAAACTTAGAAAATATCTGCCTATTATCATCAGTGTCTGCGTTTTTTGCAAGTAATTTGCTTTCTCAAAATGTGCTTAAAGTTGCCCCCCCTCCCCGGCATAATTGTTTGGATTGTGAAATGTACATGATTTATTTTAATATTGTTTAAAAAGAACGATTGGTTATTGCATCTTCTGTATTATAGTTTCATGTAAATAATTTACCATTTCTTTCTGTTTTCCATTGAACTATTCAGTGGTCGGTGAAGATGGTAAGCCTCGTGTGCTGATCTGTATACTGTGCCAACATTAAGTAATCTCATATATACTGTGCCAACATTAAGTAATCTCAAAACATTGTTTTGTTTAATTCAAAACAAGTGGTAAAGTACATCCCTCATTTTCACCTTGTGTGTGTTTTTACTTTTTTATAGTTTAATCCATAGTCCAACATGCCATAGATTAGAAATGTCATAGATTAGAAAATAATGTGGTTAATTGTCAACCTGTTGTAGTTCTTAAATGTTACTGGATAGAGGTCTTGCCACATTATAAAGAAGAATGAAGTTAGTTAGACATTATTTAAAAAGTTACATGATAGAGCAAAAAGCTCATATACAGAATAAAAATTTAGAATTATTTTTATTAGAACCTTTTCAAAAGATCATATTAATTTGATTTAAAATTTATCAGAAGAATTGTTTGATTTTTTTTTTTCCCCCAAAAAGAAAAATTTTTCCTACTAATTTTACTATGGAGTAAATGTTCCATTCTTCCATACTACTGAAGGAGAACAGAAGCATAGCTTATTATTAGCATAACCTAATTATTTTGGGTGTGAGTGTATGTGTGTGTGTGTGTGTGTGTGAGATATTCCTTCATATATTTATTTTAAACATTACATTATGAAGAACTAACCACCAAATTATTGGAAGCTTGTATAGGAAGCTATATAAAATAGCTTCTGGAAAATAACCAGTCTTTCTTAGTTACAATTCAGCTTTTAATAAATTGACAGGTTGTTAAATGCTTCAGAGGCTTCTTTATGTTCATAGGAAATAGAATGAGTAAAGCTTTTATATTATAATATTGAAATGGAATATTTGAAACGCAAATGATTTAGGTATCTGCTATAAATAAGTTTGATAACAAGGGATCTGATTTAGGGATAAGTAGAACCTGGCAGATTTACTTAATAATTGTCAGTTTATTATAAAATTATCCCAGAAAAAGGCCTACAACATTGCAGTGCATTTCATTTCATTAAATATTTTTTGAGCTTTTCAGAAATATTTTCAAAAATATAAATTAGAAGCTTATCTTTGGCACGTATATAATTTAAAACTTGTACCCCAATTAGAATAAACCTAACAATTTATGTTGACAATTAACTACTGAATTTAAATGAACTTTATGTAGGAAATTTTGCCATTCATTTATTTAGGTCAGATTTGGTTAATTAACATTTTTGTTTCTGGTGACCAGTAGAAAAAACAGCCACTTTAGGATGCCCTACTTGGGTCAGCAAGCTTGTTGAATGTCCAGTGTGCAGACCACTGGGGAAAGATTCTAAGGATTCTGTTATTAATTAAATGTTACAGTTGATTATAATTCATCCTAAAAGTGAGTTTTTTCTTTTTTAAAAGTAACTGCAGCATTCTTACAGATGATGCAATAAAGCTGTGCAGTGTGTATTACAGGTATAAGTGGCCCAAATAACGAGAATGCATTTTATTATGGGAGTCCATTTCAGCAACTCTGAAAAAGCTGAACTAATTATTAATATTCTCCAAATAACTATTTTGAAAAAAAATGAAGAATAATAGCTACCAGTTTTTGGAGTATATAAAAGTAAATACACTTTTATATTAATTGGGTTCAGTAGTTGTTAATAATGGTTCTGTTATGATCTCTAGTAATGTAGCTAAAGTAACAGTGACTAAAATAGCATTTAAGAAGAAAAAGATATCATTTAAATAAAATCTTACATTTTATTTATTTATTTATTTATTTTTACATTTTAAACACTAGTACTTTTTCTTAGTTACTTGACTATCAAGGTATTAAAAATTTTTCAGATACCAAGAGTCTTTCCTACAGGATTATATCCTTTCTTTGGGTTTTGTCTTTTTGCCAAGTACACTTGAGGTATGTTATTTGATTTATATAGGAAAATTAAAAATATAAAATTATAAACATTTTTAAATGTTTTTAAATTACAAGTATAATTTTACTGAGTGGAAAATTAATTTTTTGATGATCAGATATGTTTTAATTTCCAAGAATGGTTTAGTGAGTGTAACCAAAGACTATATGTAGTATTGAAGCATATTTCATTAATCAGTAGCCATTATAAGGTAAGTTGCTTTCTTAAATCAATTGTGTAAACTCTTCATATTTTTAGTTTGAACATTTGTAGCATTTTAAATATCATGGTAATAGGTTTGATTTGGGAAGGTAGTGATATGTGGTATATAAAATAACATGTAGATGAAAAATGTTTTGTGTTTCCATTTTGTTGTTGTTGCTGTAAGAAAATTCATATGTATTCATTTTAACTCTGCCAAGATTTGAAAATAATGTTATACTACTAATTACCAATTACCTGTATTGGTGATATTTTTACCTATTCTGTTTCATGCTTTTAAAATGTGACTGAAATGTGAGCTCTTTAACGTAATTGTGTTCATTAATACATCTATGTAAATTTTCCTTTTTTAAAAGGGTTTTTTGAAGCAAATTTGAAATTAAAATTGGTATATATTCATACTTTAAAACAAGTAAATTTAAAAAATAAAATTTTCTAGTAATGATTTAGATTCTCTTTTCAGGGCCCAGCACTAGAAGATTTCAGTCATCTGCCACCAGAACAGAGACGTAAAAAACTTCAGCAGCGCATTGATGAACTTAACAGGGAACTACAAAAAGAATCAGACCAAAAGTAGTGTTTCTTTAATTTCTCTCTATCATTATTATTTTTAAAGTATCTACTTTGAATGCTATGTCTAAATGTGGTATATAGAACATTTCAGAATCATATATCCTGGACTGAGAATATAGCTTAGTGGTAGAGTATTTGCTTAAGATGTCTGAGGGCCTGGATTCAGTTCCCAGCACCAGTCACACTCCTTGATTGAAATATCTTTTTTTTTTCCCCCTTAAATTGAGACAGTGCCTTACTATGTAGTCCAGGCTGTTTTGAATTCACTATTGTACAGCCCAGACTGGCTTTGAATTTATGGTTCTCCTGCCTCAGCCTCCTAACTGCTGGGATTACAGGAATGTGGCATCATGCCTGGCTCTCAACTATCTTTTGAGAAAAAAGATACATTCCTAAACTGGAGAATGCCATGTCCATAAGTAAAAATGAAATGGTAGAGTATTTTTTCTGCATTTCACATTTTTATTAGTTGCTATAGTCATACTTAGGTCTTTCATAGACTTGTAAAGTGATTTGATTCCTTATTAAGAGTAGTTTCATCAGCACTAACCACCTCTTATACTTTGATAGATTTTAATTTTGTTTTGGTGTATAAATTGAGCTCAGTAGCAAGTTGAGCCTATAATTATTTGCTGCAGAACTTGTTAGCAAACATTGCTTGATCATTGCTTTATATTTGTTCATTTTGTGACTTTTTTGTTTTTATAAGAAAGTGTCTTTTTTTTTTGGTACAGGAGATCAAACTCAGGTCCTTGTGCTTGCAGGGCAGGCGGTGGAACCACTGAGCTAAATCCCCAGCCCCTTTTTTGTTTTTATAAGTTTTAGTTTTATAACTTAGTTCAATTTTTTAAAAATGTACAGTTATTTATGATGAATTGATGAATAAAGGGTTGCTAAAATGAATTGGCGACTTAGTATATATCTTTACTGAAGATGAAATTGCGGGGGTGGGGCTGGAAATACATAGCTCGGTGGAGTATTAGTAAGCCTAGTAAGTGCTTAACCTCTACCGTGAGAGATTGAAGTTTTGGTGTTAGGAATTGTGTATGAGGTATTATGGGGTACTTAATCATAAATCAAATATTACAGTTGATTCCCGTATTTCACAGTAGTTAATGGTCCAAAGTCACCAGGAGCACTAAATTACTGAATACTGAAACATTGTTCCTAGAGGGAATATAAGGCTGGGCCCCAGGTAGCCACTGGTCTGGCACTTTCATCAACTGATAGATACATGTATGTAACTTGGTTATATGTATGTTTCTGATTGAAAATACCTTGTATAACAGTGTTGATTCATTAATTTTGAGCTCTGCCAGTAGCATTGTAATTCATGCCTAAACAAAGTTTATGTAGCTCTTGTAAACACCTAGATCACTAACAAAAAACCGCAAAAATGGGGGGGAAAAAGCAGCACCAAAAAAATACATTGCAAAATGGACACTCAGAATGACAGCCAAAACAAGAAAACAAAATGTTCCCTTGCTTGGCTTTAGCTGGGAACTTACATGTGCATTCAGTGACTCAAGTTTTTCTGTCTTGTGCACATCCTTGAGTGAATGGTAAGGTGTTTTGAATATCAGTTTTGGAGTTATAAATATTAGTGAGTAGGCAGTTTACAAATATGGAGTCTGTCAACAATTAAGAATAATTATGTTAGTATAAATAATATTTCGTATAAATTAGTATTTCTTAGTAGATCAACATAAAAAGTCTTTGGAAAATTATAACATTTAGTTTAATGTTTGGTGCTTATAGTCTGTGCCAGGGATTATGAAGATCAAAAATGAAGACAGTCTAGTTCCTGAGGTTCACATTCTAGTTGGGGAGGATAAGTATCAGGATTTAATTTTTGCTGGATTGTGATAACTGCTAATAGATATAAATAAACTTCTAGGGGAACCTAGAGGAAAGTATTATGAAATTTTACTGAGATAATTGGGAAAGACCTTACTGGGGAGACAGTGGGGGAAGGTGAAGGCTGTGGTCTAGGAAATGTTTTGGTTTTTTTTTTTTTTGGTACCAGGGATCAAACTTGGGTCCTTGCGCTTGCGCGGCAGGCGGTGAAACCACTGAGCTAAATCCCCGGCCCCTAGGAAGTGTTTATTGAGCGATTTTTGTGTACAAGGTACTGAACTGTGTGTTTTATATGTCAGCTGAATTCTTTAAATAGTCTATAAAGGTTATTGTTCCTGTTAGGTGAAGAGACCAAGTGTCAACTAAATACATATTTTGTCTAAGATTAGATAGCTGAAAAATGTCAGAGTTAACATTCTAGAGACTAGTCAGCTTGTCTCCAGAGCATTGGAATTGGACCTTGATAGGAGAATGGGATTTTGTCAGTTAGATAAGAAAATGAGGAAGAAGGAAAGAGCATTCAGGAAAGTGGGAAAGACAATAAAGACATGGGAATGTGAGTACTTGACAAGCCTGGAATTTAATCTAGGTAACTTAGTTAGAAATGTGGAGTGTAATAACAGGTTGAGTGTGGAAAAGATACAGGGTGAAGTAAGAAATATCTTGAGCATTTTGTTTGGAATTCTGTAGATATTGGGGAATCATCAAAAGTTTTGTTGAAGGGTAGATATTAGCAACTTTGTATCCTAGAGAAAGGTGATTGAAAGTTATGTGAAGAGTAGTAGATCATAGAGAAAAGAGATTGATAGCAGGGAGACTAGTTAGGGGACTTGATATCAGTCCAGGCAAGAATTGCCAGGGACCTAAATTAAACCATAGCCACGAGAAAAGAATGAAGGAATAGATAGATGTAAAAGTCATTTCAAAGCCAAAATAGATTGGACTTTAAACTTGATTGGATATTGTAGAGGAAAATGGAGGAGGTTTAAATAAGAAAAAGCTTGTAACTCAATAGCTACAAATAAATTGGGCAAAAATATGGTTTTGCCTGTGTTGATTTTTGAAATACGTGAAAAATCTATGTTGGAAGTGTCCAGTTGGGTTTTTGGAAGCACAAATTTGGGATTTAGAGAAAAAAGACTAGATATAGACATTTGAAAATCATCTGAAGATAGATGATATTAAAATAATAAATCATCCTGAGAAGAGTGTAGGATGAGATGAGAAGAAACCTCTGTCATTTTATGTAACAGACATTTAAAAATTAAAGAAAGAAGGAACCAATGAGAGATTGAAAGAAAGCAGAGGTGAGGAGGAGGGGGAAATTATATTCTCCAGGTCAAAAGCAAAAGACTTTTAAAGCGTGTTCATCTATGGTGTTGAATGTTAGTCAAAGAGCACTGATTGGCCTTAACCTCTTGTAATATAGAGAAGAAGAGCTGGGTTAAGAGGAGTTGACAAATGATTGAATTTAAAGAGAGGGCAAGTTAAAGATGGCAGTCTATTTCTAGCATAGATGAGTGGGAGGATGGTGATGCTGTGTGAACCAAGATAAGAACACTGGTAAAATAGTGTAGCTGGGTGGGGATATAATGAGTTTGATTAGGGATATGATGAATACAAGAATATTGAGGAGTATTTTACCAGTCATTTATTAAACCTGTATACTGTGTGTGTGTGTGTGTGTGTGAGAGAGAGAGATCCTTGTTTAGAAAACAAGAAATGAAATCTGTTCTTTTGATATTACCAGTGTTTAAAATATAGTTTCCATAAATTATATACATTTTCAGCAATATGAAAATTGTTTTTAATCAGGTAGTATGTGACTAAACTTAAAGAGATGTGACCTTAGTTAAGGTGAAGTTATAGTTGAGGCCTCTAAATAAAATGAAATTCTTACCTAAAGCACATGAATACATAATTCTGTGATTTTATTTACTTTTTTAGAGATGCACTCAACAAAATGAAAGATGTGTATGAAAAAAATCCACAAATGGGGGATCCAGGGAGTTTGCAGCCTAAATTAGCAGAGACAATGAATAATATTGACCGCTTGCGAATGGAAATCCACAAGAATGAGGTAGATTTGTTTTTCATCAGTTGTCTGAGACATTTTTATAAGTTTCATTATGATAGATTGGTTTTTGCTAGAAGTAGGTTCCGATATTTAATTTTAGGATTTATTATCTAAAAGTAAAATATCATTATGGTATATATATATTTATATATTTGTAGATTAATATACCATAATCTATGTATAGTGTATATAGATTAATTCTTTGGTGGGCATTTTTAAAAACATTGTTATAAACCTAAACATTTTGTGCTATGTTTTAAAAATCAGCTGCAACATTGATTATTGACCAAATTGGAATGAAAGTTTCTCATCTCCAAGACTCACAATAGTTATAAAAACTGAAAGCACATTTTAAATGTAAGCTATCTTGTGAGCTTCTGAACAGACTTTTTGAGATCAATTGTCTGCTTATTTATTCCTAAGGCTTGGCTTTCCGAAGTTGAAGGCAAAACAGGTGGGAGAGGAGACAGAAGACATAGCAGTGACATAAATCATCTTGTAACACAGGGACGAGAAAGGTCATTAAAAATTTTTTTTAAATTTGTATTTCTTTTTTTCCAAACCTTTTTCATCCCTTTGTCCTAAACTTCATACAGTTCTGTTTTTTCATACAGTTCTTTTTCTTCCTCTCTTTTTTCCATGGTTTCCTAATTTAACAAGTTTGGCATTTCATACCTTCAGTCTTTTGAACCTAAGTAATTTTCTCTTCCTTTAAATGATAAAAAATGAAGTATGATATTTCATCTTGCTGTTCAATTCTAGTTTATCATGCATCTAAAACTGATCTGATTTAAAAACCTAAAAAGTTCTTGGAGCTACAATCTCAAGGCCTAAGAACCTCAACATAGGAAGATTTTGTTTAGGTAGAGTTGTGTAACTTATGCCAAAGAAAAATTTTACTGCCAACTGCTCAGTTTTGTGAAGGAAAAAAGGAGTATATATTGTTAGTTTGGATCAGTTTCCAACTTGGAATTTTGCCAAGTTTCCATGTTTGTGTATTACTTGTGACATTTCTTCCTTGGTGTAATGTGTACCTGACCTGCTCCCTCACAATAAAAGTCCACAAATCAGGATTTACTTTAGAGAAGAATTTGAGAGGTCTAATATCAAATCCTGGTTTACTACTTAATTACTGAGTAATTTGAACAAGTTCACTTTTAATATTCCCTAAGTCTTTTTCCTGAAATATAAAATGGAGATTTAAATTCCTGGAGGGTCGTTAGCAATAAAAAAAATAATATGCATCAAGCATCTAGAAATAAAATACCTAGTAATAGTATGTGCTTCACAAATGTTAGTTCTTCCCTCCCCTTTCCATGTTTTCTGTCACTTCTTGAGAATTTATCTCTTTAGTTTATCAAGAGAAATCCACAGGTAACTGTTTTTTGTTATTAGATATAATTCCAGACTAAAAGGATGTAGTCTTTCTGGCATGCATTATTTAAGAATGAGGCTTCCAGGGCCGGGGATTTAGCTCGGTGGTTTCGCTGCCTGCTGCACAAGCACAAGGACCCGAGTTCGATCCCTGAAACCAAAAAAAAAAAAAAAAAAAAAAAAAGGAATGAGGCTTCCAGGCTTATGGAAAAGTGCTGCTAAATTTAACCCTGTTCATTTTTCCATTATTAAAATTTTACTCAGTATTTGATGTTTTAGGAAAATTTTACTTTTTTTCCTCTTTGATTTGAAATATTTTAAAGGAAAATAAAATGTCCTTTGTATTACCTGATGTTTAGGATTTCTCTAAGTTACTAACTTCCCCATTACCATGATTAATTGGGAATTGACTTCTTGTTTTAATTAGAAGTCATTTGGTTTTAAGCAATGTAGTGAATAACTACTAAACTAAAAATGGACTTCAGTGGTGAAGGAGAGCCCAGATGATATCTGTAGGACGCAATTTCTCACCACTTCTGTCTAGCTCTCCCTTTTACCACTTCTGTCTAGCTTTCCCTTTTTTTTATTTTAAGTCTCTGATGATCTTTCAAAGTGAAAAGGGAGTGAGCTTCTCTTACAAGTAGTGCCAGGGAGAGGTCCTTGTGCATAGCTTATTTCTGGTTGGGTTACAGGCCTACTAGTGAACCCTTCACTCCCACCATGTGAGTGCAGTGCTCATAGTCCCTCTGAATTCACAATAGGAACAGCTTCACTGTGAACTGAACACTGAGCTGGGTCAGTCACCTAAGGAACTTTAGGCTATTTTTGCCAGAAGAGGGGGTGATGAAAGACAAATGTTTACTAGGTTTTTCCATTTTGTCTCTAGACCCACTGACAGTGAGATGTATTCACTGAATGTTGCTGTGTCCCTAGAACATTGCTGACGTTCCTAAAATTACCAAAAACTTGGGCCAGGGATTTCGCTCAGTGGTTCTACCGCCTGCCTTGCAAGCTAAGGACCCGAGTTCGATCCCTGGTACCAAAAAAAAAAAAATTATCAGAAACTCACAAAGAAGCATTTTGTATCAGTAACAATTTATGTAGTCAACGTCTAAGAAAACAGGCTTAATATAAAACCATGCCATCTAATTTTCCGAATTGATTGAGGAGATCAACTTACAGATAATACATGAAGAGCTCTCATGTTTGTGATATTTGATCAAACTTAATTATGTTTTCTTTTAGTCCTGAGGGAAGTTACACTGATGATGCCAACCAGGAAGTTCGTGGACCACCCCAACAACATAGTCATCACAGTGAGTTTGATGATGAATTTGAGGATGATGATCCTTTGCCTGCTATTGGACATTGCAAAGCTATCTACCCTTTTGATGGTATGATGTTCTTAATGTATTATATGTTCCTTAATTAGCTAAATAGTACATTGTCAGAAAATTATAATCCTCATCTATACTTTTAACTGTATTATAAAAAGAGAACCCCCCCACACACACTTGAAATTAGAAAATTATCTACATTATCAACATTTTGTTACAGGTTATTGTCTACTAACTTTGGTTGATACAGATCTTCCCCCTTGAACTTAGTAATGCTTGCATATATTCAGCATGGTTGAAGGAGCTTGAGCATATGCCCCAACCCAGAAGTAGGTGGCTGGTAGATGTCACTTCATGCTCCTATTTGTGGCTTATTAACATTAAAGACAAATGTAAGGCATAGCTGAAAGCTGTCATATCCTGACTCTGCTGGCTGCTTTTTCAGATGACAGTGGGAAAGAAAGTGGTAGCCTCTGACTGTGCTATCCTTTCCCCTGTGATAGTTGGAGAACAAACTCTGTGGGGAAATAAGGAATTGTTGCCCTCTTCCGCGTATTTTTAGTTACCCTTCCTTCTCTTGACCCTGAAAAATTGTTTTCCTCAACTAACATAAATGCAGCATAACACTTTCATAATTAAGTTCTTTTAAAGTGATATGTGATGTAAGGTCTGTCTCCAATGATTTTGTTAATTTTAAAATTCAGTGAAAGAGGGTTGTAGCTCAGTGGCAGAGCACTTGCCTAGCATCTGTGAGGCCCTGGGTTTGATCCCCATCAGTGCAAAAAACTCAAAGTCTTTAGTTACTCCTCATCTGAGATATTTACAAAGATCTTGCCATGATGTAATCTAGAAAGTAAAATAGACTTTAGCATGTGTTAAATGAAGATTAGGTTATAAAAACTGTTACTTTTAAGCAGGTTGGCAGTGGTTGGGGGTGGGAAGAAAGGATGTCCTGAAAGGGAGTCCTGGTGCTGATAAGGTCTTGAAGGAAATTTGTGTTTTGTGGCCATTCTACTTCTGCCATCATCAGAATTAAACTTGTATTTTCCTTTGCCTCTTTCCCACCTTTTCACTGTCTTTTTACTATTTTCTTGATCTATACCTTATAAATTTTTTAGATAACAATACTTCTCAAATTGGGAAAAGAATTGAAAGTGAAATAGAAGTTTAGAATAGCCTGTATCAAACATATAATATCATTGTGGCACAATCACTTCATCTGTTATGTGGAGTGATATTAATTCAGCCTCACAGGCTTCCGGTAGCTTAAACAAGAATGTATATGAGAGTGCTGGATAAAGTACAAAGCATCACAGAGATATTATTGCTAAAGAGAGTCAGTGGCTTCTTGGCAGGTACATTGGAATCTAGTAGAGTCTCATGTTATTTTATGTTATATTTCTAACTTATTAAAAATAATCATTATGCTTAAATTATGCTTATGCTATAAAACTCTCATCTAGGACATAATGAAGGTACTCTGGCAATGAAAGAAGGTGAAGTTCTATACATTATTGAAGAGGACAAAGGTGATGGATGGACAAGAGCCCGGAGACAGAATGGTGAAGAAGGCTACGTTCCCACATCATACATAGATGTAACTCTAGAGAAAAACAGTAAAGGTGCAGTAACTTATATCTAAACTAACCAGGCAGTTTTGTGCCCTAGGAACAGTCACATAAAATGAAATACATTCAACAGGTCAGAAAAAAATAAGAAAACTGAAAGGGCATCACAAGTTATTGTTCACTGTGTGAGATGAGTACAGGCTGGGTCTTAGAGGTGCGAATATTGCCACAAGTAACTGTTTCTGTGACACCTTATCATTTGAGCAATGTTGCTATGAAGCTTAATTGATGCCTTTTGCTTTATGTCCTGCTTAAGTCTGTGTGAAGGATTTGTGTTTTTCTGCCCTATAAAAGAACTTGATTTATTGGGCAGGAATCCATAAGTAGAATGTTCCCTCACCCGCTTTATGTCAGGAAACAGTGACTGTATGAATTCAAATAAGTAAAACTGCTCTGAAATGTTATAGAAAGCTGACTCCCAAAAGAGTGGTTTGTTCTAGGAGTTTGAATTCTTACCTTCAGTTTCTAGGAAGAAAAAGTTGGATAATTGGGTAAGATAATAATGTAATGATTTTCATTTTCCTCCTTAGTCTTTGTTTTCCTAAAGGAAGAAAATAAGCACCGGAGTGTGTAATCTATTTAAGTAGTAGGCTAATCAAGAGATCTACAAAATCACCTGATCCAGCTCTTATGAGAATAGTTTCCTTTTGAGACTTGAAAAAATTTTCAGGCTTACTGGTAATTTTCAGTAATGTACAAACTTCCTTCCAAATGAATCTCATGTTCATATTTTTTATCTTGAAAGTATCTTTTGGAACTATCATTTTAGTGATCATTTAACAATTACACATAAGAAAATAGATTCTGTATCAATGAAGATAGAGAAAAATCTTGAATGGAGGGAAAGCATTGGCCAAATTTACTTTTAGAAGAGAAACAATTGTTTTGACTGAGTTGAAGGAAGATATCTATACAACCATTTTGTGCCTGATTTTAGCTGGATCACCAGTTATTAGAACAGATTATATTTCCCATTAATTTCAACAAGCATTCATTGGAAACACTGTACAATCAGTGATTGTGCAGCACTGGTTGTGTGATCACTGAGTTATGTGGGGGAGTAAAAAGGAGATTTTAGAGACATTGGGGCAGATACTTTAAACTGAATACCCCTTTTGGTCCTACCAAAGGTCTTCAGTAATTGTTCTTTTCTTTTTCCTCCTGGACTACAGGTTCCTGAAGAGGGTTTCTGAGGAAATGGGCAAGATGTTGAAGGAGGTTACATGCAGCTGCTTTTGGGGGGAGGGTATTAGAGTTGTCAGGCTCAAAGAGAGAGTGAGAGAAGCAAGTTGCATGAGTGCATGCAGACATGATTATTTTTTACTAACTTCATTAGCATTTCCATACATTATTTTAAAAAATCATTGTAATAGCAATCCTTAAATTCCTAGTTCACAATTATTCACATGGAAGAAAGAAAATAGCCAACAATGGCTGACCCTTTTTCCTTTATTTTACTGATGTCCAAATCAGAAAGAATGCAGAGCTGTCATAAAATTTGTCTTATACTTGGCCGTCCCAACAGGACCATCTCTATCCAGCTGTTTCAGTTCGTGTTTAGACCAACCCATTGTCTGTTAGAATCTTTGCCGTTTGTCAGTGTCTGCCTGCGCCACCTCCATGCTTGCTTAACATCCTGTTGCATGTCTACAGTGACCAGACTTCGATTTTTTCAGGCATGTCTTTATAATCCCTTGTTCTTGTCAAAGCCTTTGTTTTGTTTTACATTTGTAGTGGAAATCACTTTGTCAAACATCTCTAGCACTAATATTTCCATCTTAGTATTTTGTGTATGTTGCTATAACTTCCCCACTGCAAACATTCCAGTTTTGGCATTATGAAGACGTAGTCTGTGAACCTGAAATTTTTAAGATAAGAAAAAGAAAACATCTCTGCTCTAGCCTACTGCCCACTTGAAAGAACTCTTTGAAACATGATACATCTTCAGCATTTCAGTCTTGGAAGAATCTATAGTTAGCACTGAAGTCCTGGCATAATAAATACAGAAGATACCACCTCAAGACGAAGAACTGTTGTCAGAAGTCAGCTGCTTCCATTCAAATGCTGCCTTAAACTAGAGTGCCTAAATCTGTTGATTACCAACACTACCACTACAGTATCCCACAAAGGGCTTTATGTGTCAGCTCAGTGCGACCTCCTTTAACTCTGCAGCACTGCTGCAGCTGCCGATGTAGCCTTGGTAGGTGGCTTTTAGAGCTCTACCATGTACAACGGTGCATCTTGAAATTTATGCATCAAACTAAAGACATGTTCCTGTCCATTTTACTTTACTCTGTGTTTTATGAGAGGTTTTATGGACCTCCCCTCTTGTCTTTTAATTTAGAGTTACGATGAACTCATTTGATTATTAGGATGATAGTCTCTTTTCAAGTGATGCTTTTGTTTGAACCAGATAAAATTTAGTGAAACTTTGTAATGATCTATGTGCACTTTTACTTGTAAAGTGGAAATTTCTGTATGTTTATACTTGTAAATATAATTGTCATTAGTGCTCTTATTGCTCATGTTGTCCTTGCCTTGCATTTGTGATTTTGTTCATGACTTGTATCTGAACTAATTTCTTAGTGGTGTTGTAATAGGGGGATGGGCTTGGGTGGGGGGCTATTTGTACCACTAAAAGTTCTTTAATTTGATTCTTTACTGTTTTGAGAGGAGAAAGAACGTGAAATGTTCTGTGTATTATTGGACTTTAAGCAATATTTTAGAAGCTGTGTGGCTGCTTTAATTTTTCCCAGTGTTATTTGAATCATACAAGTTATACTAAAGCTAAATGACAATTGTGTGAAAGTTAATGCCTTCATAAGATCAAGTACAGCACTGTTACACAGCTGACCTATCGTGTATTACCTTTGAGGCTAGTAAACTATTAAGTTTAGATATTGAATCTCATTACAGGGTTATTTATATAATATTACATTATTCAGTACTGACATACTACATGAAGTAGTTTTAAAGTCTAGTGCTATTTTTATTTTAAAGGTTAGCAGTGAGAAGGAAATGTGATCTGGTTATGTTTGTCTTCTGTACAAAGCCTGAAGTGCTTATGTTTTTTGGCTCGCAGCCACAGAGGGCAAAGTTTAAGGCTTTCTCTTAAGGACTAACTGTTCTTTTCAAGCTACTGTTTGTTTTTCTAAAAGCAGGATTTGCTTCCGTAGGAGACAAGTTCCTTCATGTGGAATAGTGAAACCTGTATATAGGTTATTACAATATGAAAGACATTTGTACTTGCACATTCTTAAATCATTCTTAAATTTTGAACATGTGAATTGTCCAAAAGAAATCTTTTAATTTTTCAGTAATTTTTACTCTTTGTGCACATGTTGATTTCTTAATGGTAAAGGCTTTGTTAAAGATAGTGTTCTCTGTTGAGAATATTTTCATGGAATAAAACAATCTTTTCATGGTCAGTTAAGGTGTATATCTCTTATTGCTATGTGAACCAAACAGTTGAGATGATTTTATTCTATTTCAGGTAATACAAAGTAGATGGTAAGTTCTTGAGGTGGGGCAACCTCTTTGGAAAGCAGTTATAGAAATTTTATTCTAGTTTTAGCATCTCTCAAGCTTTCATAAAGGAAAGAATTAATATTTCTGTAGAATGAATTGAAATTGCATGTAATAATTTGCATTTATCTTTGTTCAACAATAACCATGTTGCACAGACTGTCTTTTTACACTGTTTTATCCTCTATATCCATAAGAACTGTCCCTGTACCACGTAGCCCAATCTAGCTCCCAATGTTTCCTGTGCTTCTCCTTGATTCCTGTTCAGTTAGGGAAGCACCCCTGCTTCCTGATATCTCAGAGCATGGAAAGGAAACATTTGCCATAATTAGTGACACATTATCAGTAAGTGTTAGGAAGTCTAATTTCAGATTTCACCTTTTTAAAAAGGCACATCCGAAACTAACACTGCAAATTTTCAGAAACCCAAAATGGGAATAAAACTAATGGTAGATCCTGAAAAATGAAAAGTTGCAATTGTTGAGATGAAAATTTAGTGATCAGTGCCAAACTTAGAACTTAAGGACACAGGAAACAATGAAAGTAGGACAAGTGTCAAATATTACAGTTTCAGATGAACAGAAGTTTGGAGGGTTTAGACAAGGAAAAGAGCTTTTAACCCATTTAGGCCAAAGGTTGCAATTTGTTGAATTTTTGCATGAAATTCATATATGTTACGTAGAAAAATTCAAGGAACAAGAATTTGAAGAGAAAAATTCTGTTATATGCCATTCCAAAAATGGAACACTACACATAAAAGGATTAACTACACTAAGATCAGGGAAGTGAAATCCTACTTGCTAGGGAAAGATAAAGACCGTGTAACAAAATTAACAAAAGGCAAAGGAATTCAGGCTTGTTGAAAAGGATTATCACTGTCAGAATTAGGAAAACTACAGAACATATAAAAGATGCAAGATTGGGGAATGGGTGAAAATAAAATTTGAGAAATTCTGGGAGATTTGATGACAACCATGAAAAGTACTAGATAATGGTTAGCATTTGGAGGAAATGTGAATGGGCAGCTGACCTGTGTTCTAGGAATAAGTTCTATCAAATTACCCTCATTCCTTTCTTCAGATATAAATGGAAAATCTAAGACACACTTACTGTCTTCATTTCAGTACAGTTACAATTTGACAGAATTTCTCACTCATTTTCATAAGATGGTAACAGCTTTGTGTAGAGAATGGTGGGGCCTTGTGATGAGCTGATTTGTTAAACTCAGACTGTCAACCATGAGGTGAGTTTCTTGTGGAAAATATATATGTATGTTATGAACCATAATAAATCTCTCATCCAGTTTAACATGGAAAATTATCTTCTCTTCCAAGAGTAACCATTGAGTTTTGAGTTTCTTTTGTTTTTCTTTATAGTTTTACTGCATAGATATTTTTTTCCTAAACTTGACACTATCCTTGTTGTTGAGCTCCGTAAGGATGATGTTTGTAAAGATGTTATAAGTGATACTTAGCCAATGTGCACTGAGGTACAGTGAACGTTAAATGTGGAAATGCTTCTATACTGATTGGTAAAAATAGCAACTCAGAAAAGTAACACTAGTTAATCATACAAGCTTTGCTATGTGGGCTATGTGGTACAGGGTTTATCTCAGAAACCACACATGATTCTCCATGATATCAAGGCATTTCTCATGTGAGCACTGAAGACAAAGCTAAAGGGTTTACTGTAGGATTACTATTACTTATTTTATGTGTTGGAGGACCTTCTGTGGTTTCATGAGCCCTTTGGTATGAGAAGGACCTGGACAACTAAGCTGAAAGATCCTTACATTGTTTATCTCCCAAAGAAATGCTTCATCCTGCTCAAAGGGAGCCAAGACCATGTCTATACCTTGGAGGCGGTCAGGGAGACAGGAAAGGAGCATGGGAATAGGTATAAGTGATGGAAATATAGGCCCTTGTAACAGAGCAGTAATGCCCCTTGGATGGTTTTCAGAAGTTTTGAGGGGCAGCTTATTCTCTGTGGTGGAAAGTGGTATGAGAAGAGGGACTGTTCTCTACCTAGTGCCAGCACCTCGATGGTACTATGCTGTCTGGTGAAGGGAAGAGGTGGGACAGGTATCAGCTGCATGCCCCCTCTCTTCAGGTGCAGACAGAACATTAGTAAACTAATGACTGTGAATTCAGAGGGATACATAGGTCATTAGAAAAGTTGGCAGTTTCATGTGTGGAGTTGTAGCAGCATGAGTTACCTGGTGACAGCCATAGCATATTAACCATTTGTTTAAACAGATTTGAAAATTAATAGTAATTGATGAAAGATTTGGGCTACTTTGGTCTCAAAGTTTTATTATATAGTTTATTTTTTAAAAAAATTATTTTGCTTATTTTCATATTGGATTATATATTGTTGTATTCTGTACATACACTAATAGCTCACTTGTCAAATACCTTGAATATTCCATTGTTCCTTGAATTGATTTTTACTCATTGCTGTTTGTAAGATTACCTGTGTTTATCAAAAATCAGTAGCCTTCTTGTACACAAATAACAGACCCACTGAGAGAGAAATTAAGGAAACAATTCGTTTCACAATAGTATCCAAAAAAATGAAATATCTAGGTATCAATCTAACAAAGGAGACAGAAGACCTCTACACTGAAAAAAGAGATCGAAGAGGATATAAGAAAATGGAAAGTCATCCCTTGCTCCTGGGTAGGAAAAATCAACATAGTGAAAATGGCCATACTTCCAAAACTACTCTACAGATTCAATGCAATCCCAATTGAAATCCCTACAGTATATTTCATAGAACTAGAGAAAACAATCCAAAAATT